TCCAACACTCTGTCACACAGTGGCCAAAATTACCAGGTGCCATCAGGAGGTCCAGCAGTGGGGCCAGGACACTAGAAGCCCTCCCACTCTTGCCCCCCCCCAAGGACCAAGAATACAGAGCATCACTTGCCCCAGACTGAGAGTTCCTATCTATACCTTGTGACTAATAGCCACTGATGGACCTCTGCTCCATATGCTTATCTGATTCCCTCTTGAAACTGTCCGTGCTTGTAGCTGCCACCACCTCCCACTGATGCTGCATTATTAGGGATTCCAGCTCTGGGTTGGGAAATACCTGGAGATTGTGGGGGTGGAGCCTGCGAAGAGTGAGGTTTGGGGAAGGGGAGGGACCTCAGCCAGGGTAGAACGCCATACAGCCCACCCGCCAAAGCGGCCATTCTCTCCAGGGCGACTGATCTTTCGACTGATCTTCCTACAAGTGCCTACCGATCTTGGTCGTGTGTAGATCGCTTGTAATAACAGGAGGTCTCCAGGTGCCTTCTGGGGGCTGGGAACCCCATCGTTATTCTAGATCAAACCAAAGGCAAAGGTTTCTGCTAGCCGTACATAAGAAATAATGCTGCAATTCACAGGGCTTCTGCATCACTTGTGTGTCCCTTCGCACCATGCAGACAAACCCTTTGACCTGATGAGATACCCTTAAAAAGGTAAAGGTTTCCCTTGCTCGAAAGCCAGTCGAGTCCGACTCTAGGGTTGCGGTGCTCATCTCCGTTTCCAAGCCGAAGAGCCAGCGCTGTCCGAAGACGTTTCCGTGGTCACGTGGCCGGCATGACCAAACACCAAGGCGCACGGAACGCTGTTACCTTCCCACCGAAGTGGTACCTATTTATCGACTTGCAATTTCTTGCTTTCGAACGGCTAGGTTGGCAGGAGCTGGGACTAGAGACGGGAGCTCACTCCGTCATGCGGCACACTCGGGTCTCGAACTGCTGAACTACCGACCTTTCACAGCCTGCAGTTACTTGCTTAGAATTTCTGGGCACCTCAAGTAAGGATGAATCTGAGTTACTGGGTTGGAACTAAGGCATCTTTGATCTGATCTGATCTAATTTATTACAGCAAGAGCCAGTAAAACAGTACAATTCTGATAGAAGAGAGATTAAAACAGTAATAACATAGCAATAGTATAAAAACATTAACGAGAGAAAATTAATAAAATCAGTAAAATAAAATAATAATAATAATAATAATAATAATAATAATAGAATCATACAATTTTTTCAGCTAAAATAAGTTTACGTTTCCTAATAACTAAGCAACAAAATTTTGCCACAGCGTAAGTCACTGGACTCTGAACATCTTCTAGGAGGAATTTACGAAGGACTTCTTGTCTAAAGTCAAGATAAGACTGCAGAGGGCTAAATCTAGACAAGAGGGGTAGTATAAGATGGTCTCGTTCCTCCTGATAGAATCTGCAGAACAGGAGGACACGAGTAACTGATTCCACCATATTAGCCATGCACGGGCATAGATGTTCATGCATTGGAACTCGAGTGAATGTACCTTGCAGTACAGTGGAGGGAGTGCCTCAAAACGGGCACTGGAAAAGGCCCAGCCCAAGGTATCTTGCCAGAGGTTAAAATCTGCACCTTCCATGTGTACCGTACTTTCAGAGAACTGTGCTTAGAGAGGTGGTTACTGGATTCATGGTCTTTTCTGGGGTGGATCCTCAGCTGTGGAATTCCACCCTCCAATCAAATTTTCAAGGCCTTTCAGCTACGAAGCCTGTCGAGCTTACCCATGCATTTAATAACCTGTGACCCGAAAGTATCGGCTTTTTGATATTTAAAAAGTTTTTGCTATGGCTGTGGCTGGGTGTTTTCCAGTTGGTTTGAAATGTGATGATATTGGATGTGATATTGTCGAGGGGGGGGGATGTTCTTTTTTATTTGTAAGCTGCCTCGGATACTCAAAAAGGCGGGAGAGGAGAGACTCTGCAAGATCAGGGTGAGAAAAAGGGGCATGGATCGTTCTAGGGACACAGAATGTTCTGTACAGTTCTGTAAGGCAAAGGTTTCCCTTGCTTGAAAGCCAGTCAAATCCGACTCTAGGGGGCGGTGCTCATCTCCGTTTCCAAGTCGAAGAGCCAGCGTTGTCCGAAGACGTTTTCCGTGGTCATATGACAGGCATGACTAAACGCCAAGGTGCACGGAACACTGTTACCTTCCCACCGAAGCGGTCCCTATTTATCTACTTGCAGTTTCTTGCTTTCGAACTGCTACGTTGGCAGGAGCTGGGGCCAGAGACGGGAGCTCACTCCGTCATGCGGCACTCGGGTCTCGCACTGCTGACCTGCTGACCTTCTGGTCTGCAGCTCAGTGTCTTTAACTGCTGAGCCGCCACAGCCCCATACAAGAATGGCAGCCCCGCCAGACAATTGCCCCACAAGCTACAAATCCCTGGCTACAGGCCTGTTCATTTGGATGGAAGAAAATGCACCAGGGTCAAAATGTCCACACTGCAGACGCCTGTTGTGTCAGTTGCTCCTGCCTTTCCTAACCTTCTGTAGAATGAGGAGTCAACATAGATTCTGAGGCTTGGCTTACAGATGTGTCAGGATAAGCCAAAGGCTGGCTTTTGCTTGAAACAGGCATTAACATACATCCCTTCCGAGGCGTTCTCTTAGATCAATAAATATAAGCACCAAAGGTTACTTGGGCAGACGTTAATACCATCACAGCTGTTCAAATCCTGGGATAAATACAGAAATGAGCCTAAGTCTGGGTATATCTCCATTGGCATCTTCTATTAAGGACTCAGAATTTAATTTTAGGAGGTGTTTTAGGAGGCTTTCCATTTGTGTGAGCTGCATAATGTTTTTAGATTTGAAGATTTAGCGATGTCTAATAGATTTATTACTCGCGGAGAGATAAACGTCCGTTGACAAGGGCGGATACCTCCGTGGCATCTCTGCTTTCCGGTCTAGCATTCAGTAGGAAAGAAATAAAGATGCACACTAGTCAGTTGACAAATTTAATGCAGTGTGAAGAACGACTGGAAAAAAGGATTTGGAAAGAAAGGGCCCTTGTCTCCATGGTGTAAAAAAAACAACATTGAGGTTTAGAGATTAAGAGGAATCCTTGTAAGTTTCTCTGTGTTGAGCGTCTTGGGGAATAGCGTGTCAGGCAGGATTTGGGGGTGAGAGCCATATATCAATTAGACAGTTTTATCACTAAGAGAAGCTTACTGCTTTACCCCTACAAGGTTAAATAAAATCTTTAGAATAGAATGCAAACACTCTTAGAAGTTGGAGAAATCATGCCGGTCATGACAATGTTTATCCTGGAGTAGAGTGATGTTGGGGCGGTGATGGTTGGACCCCTATCGTATGACTCCTTTTTCAAATAATTGGTTGATGGCTCGATTTTCATATATTAACTTGTACTTTTGAATCATATCAAGGATTTCATTCAAGGGGCTATTAAAAGATCGGTGCGCAAACAGTGTACCTACTTCCAACGTCATATTCACTTGTCATTAAAAACCCTCATCAACGGCAGCGATTATGCAGTGATTAAAGTTCTGGATATTGCGAAGATTAATAGATAAAGTGTATCAAAGGCAAGGCTTAAGTGTTTCTGTGGAGATAGCTGAAAAAGAGCTTCCATTTATGTTGCATCAGAGTGTTCAGCATAATAAATGTATGCCTGGGAAGGCATGTTTTGCTTTGTTTGTTTGTTTGTTCTAAAAAAAAAAAAAGATTTGTGGTTGTCAGAATCAAGACTTGGGCACAGTACATATAGCCTTTCCCTGCCCCCATAACTAACAGAGGCAGGATAAATTATGCAAATATTAAAAATGCAATATTCTCTTCTCCCGTCAGGATCTTCAGATGGGTTCTGCAGTACGTACGTTTATTTATATTTAATTGATCTGTGAATTTCTTAAAACCTAGGCATAGTCAATTAAAAAATTTTGTAATGGGTTGACAGATCTAATATTTCTATGCCACCTTCTCTGAACGCCCCATGAGTAACACCTTCCTTTTGCTAGCAGGAGTATTTTAATTGGAAAGGAGTTTAAAAAAAAAGCATTTCATGTTTGCTGATTTTTAAAAAATGATTATTTTAAAGAATGTAAATTAAGCTGAGCAAATACGGAAGAAAAGACTCAATAATGACGGTTTCGTTCCACGAAGTGGGGAAGCTTCTGTTGGAGGGAGAAGTCCCTCCCTTGCCCCACTGGAAGATTCCTCCTTTCACAGATAGGGGTGCCAGCCCCTGATGGGGGGCTTACCAGGAGCAGGAGGGAGGCCCAAAGCAACATTTCTTCCAGAATGTACCAAAAGTGATGTCATCTCATCAGCAATGTCTGAGCAACACTCCGGTATTTGGGCAAGAACTCTAAGGCAGAAGCCATTTTTACCATAGAGTTTTTGCCCAACTACCAGAACATTGCCAGGATGTCCCAGTGTGATGATGTCACTTCCAGTACACACCAGAAGTGATGCCGTGACATCGCTGGTGACCAGGGGTCTTGTTGTAGAAAAAGAGCTGCCGGAGCTCATTAGCATAACTCATTAGCATAACTTATTTGCATATGCCACGCCCCCTGACATCACCGGAAGTGACAGAAGGCCACACCCCCTGACATCACCGGAAGTGTGTCAGAAGGCCCGGCTACTTACCCTCCTGCTTCATCCTCATTCCCAAACGGAATGAGGATCGAAGCAGAGGGCGGGGTAAAGAAGGGGGCGGGGCTTCACCACGTGACTGCCCCGCCCCCTAGAGGTTCTCTTCCGGAGCTCCGTACCTGAGAGCTCCCCCCCGACTAGAGCCCTGCTGGTGACATAGGCTGGGCCTCTCTCCTGCTCCTAGCAAGTCTCCTCCCATTCCCCACCAGTTGCCACAACGAACTTGGCCACCCTATTCACAGATGAGAAATACGGAACCCAGCCCGTAATAAGCAGACGTCTCTGTGCCTCTCTGGTTGTCTGATGACGCTTCCTCTCTCTTCTCCCTCTCTCCCTGTGCCCTCAGCTTTCCGCTGCTTTGCTGTTCGACGCCGCCTATGCTGTGGTGAGCGCCGTGCAGGAGTTAAACCGGAGCCAGGAGATCGGCGTGAAGCCCCTGTCCTGCGGCTCTGCCCAGATCTGGCAACACGGCACGAGCCTGATGAACTACCTGAGAATGGTGAGAAAGGACTGAACGTTGACGCTGCCTTCGCGTGCGGCCGTTCCACCCTCCCTGTCCACTCGGCCTATGAGGAAGAAGAAGAAGAAGAAGAGATTGGATTTATACCCCGCCCTTCACTTGGAGTCTCAGAGCGGCTTACAAACTCCTTTCCCTTCCCCTCCCCACAACAGACACCCTGAGAGGTGGGTCGGGCTGAGAGAACTCTGACACAAACTGCTCTTTTTCAAGGACAGCTGTGCCAGAGCTTGTGACTAACCCAAGGACACATCAGAAGGTGCAAGTGGAGGAGTGGGGAATCAAACCCGGTTCTCCCAGATTAGAGTCCGCACACTTAACCACTACACCAAACTGGCGGCGCCATCCAGTCCCAACACAGGATGTTTGGAAGGACTGCAGGGTAGGGAAAACTCATGCATGCTCGCGTGACTCACCACTCCAGATGCAGTCAGGTGTCTCATGAGGCTTGCCAACGTCCTGGAGACAAGTGGAGGGCTCCCGCTATTACAACTGATCTCTAGATATAAGAGTGCCTCTGGTTACAGTGGACTCTAATCTGGGAGAACCGGGTTTGATTCCCCTCTCCTCCACTTGCAGCTGCTGGATGACCTTGGACAAGCCATAGTCCTGTCAGAGCTGTTCTTGGAAAAGAGCAGTCCCTGTCAGAGCTCTCTCAGCCTCACCTACCTCACAGGGTGTCTGTTGTGGGGAGGGGAAGGGAAAGGAGTTTGTAAGCCACTCTGAGACACTCCAGTCCAGCCGTTCTAAGAGGCGAGGGTTCCTTCGACTCCCCTCGTCCCCTTCTGCCTTCCTAGCGCTCTCCCCGCCAACTTGTTTCTTTGGCTGTCACAGAGACCCACGCTCCTGTAGGCGGGTGATTAATCGTGTTGTGTTTATTCCCGTTGTCTGGGGCCTCGGGAGGAGGGAAACTTCTATGTGGGGTGCAAGGAGGCAAACTGCACCGTGTTAAACACACAACCATGTTTGTGTAAAGGGCTGACAAACGCAGCAACACTCTGGCTGCTAATTGCTGTCAAAGCACAATGCCTCTGACAACCGCCCTATGCAAAGAGCCGAAGAAAATGAGCAAGGAGAGAAAGTTCCGCAATCGCCAGGCTTGGGGTGGGGGGAGCGGCTAGGCTGGGCTTGTGACACTGAGTTAGAAGGTGTTCGCCACCGCGCAGTGAAATAATGGAGAGGGGGCCTTGCTTCTGGTTCGAGAGCCTCACAGAGGGAAACTGAGTCAGCCTAGTAAGGGGGAGAGAGAGAGAGAGGAGGAGGAGGAGGAGGAGGAGGAGGAGGAGGAGATTGGATTTATACCCTGCTCTTCACTACCCAAAGGTGTCGCTCAAAAGGAGAAGGGGAAGGGCTTTCTCGGTAGTGGCTCCATACTGGTGGAATGATCTCCAGGAAATCAGGGCCTCGTGGGACCTTCTGCAGTTCCGCAGGGCAATGCAGAGGGGGATTTCTGTTCCAAGGTGGGTTTGGTACAACGACGGAGGGAAAAGCCAGTGCAGAATCAGCCCATGTTGGAGGGAGCTTTAACTCTCGAAGGTGCTACTGGACTCCGTCTAGCTGTTCCACTGCAGACCAACATGCCTGCCCTCTGAAACTCAGGCATCTTAGGCAGGGGTCATTTGGTAGAAAAAGAGGTGCAGGAACTCATTAGCATAACTCATTAGCATAACTTATTTGCATATGCCACACCCCCTGACATCACCGGAAGTGTGTCAGAAGGCAACACCCACCGCTCAGGCTCCACTGGACTGTTTTGGATTGCTAGCTATTGGGGGGGGGACGTGCAGATCTGTCCTCGCAGAGGAAGGAGAGCTTGTACCTGAAGGCGGGCCAGGGGGGTCGGGCTCTGCAGCTTACCTGGCTGCTTCTTGCTCCTCGTGGCCTGACTGAGGGCTGCTGGGAGCAGGGGGCGGGGCGTGTTGCATGTGCCCGCCCCCTGGGCTCCTTACTGCCGGAGCTTCGCTCCTGTGCGCTCCCACAGGAAATGACCCCTGATCTTAGGGTAGATGCAAATCAATGGCAAGGAATGGCCTTCCCACATTGCCACAGTTTCTCAATATAGAGGGGATAGCCCAGGCTAGCCTGATCTTATCAGATCTCAGAAGCTAAGCAGGGACGGCCCTGGTCCGTATTTAGATGAGAGACTACCAGGGTCACTATGCAGAGGCAGGCGTTGACAAACAACCTCTGAACATCTCTTGCCTTGAAAATCCTACAAGGTCACCCTAAGTCGGCTGCCACATGACAGCAAAAAGGGGGGGAGGGGGGAGGGAGATTTTAGAATGTTCATAGTGCCAAATTCCCCCGCCTTTCTCCCTGACATGCTAGCTTTCCGTGTGCGGGGAGCATTAAATGTGAAGGAGTAATCTGTTACGGGCAGGGGTCATTTTGTAGAAAAAGCGGTGCAGGAGCTCATTAGCATAACTCATTAGCATAACTTATTTGCATATGCCACACCCCCTGACATCACCGGAAGTGTGTCCGAAGGCAACACCCACTGCTCAGGCGCCACTGGACTTTTTTGGATTGCTAGCTATTGGGGGGGGGTGAGCGCAGATCTGCCCTCACAGAGGAGGGAGAGCTTGTACCTGAATAAACCTTGGCCTTAAAGGTGCCACTGGACTGTTTTGGATTGCTAGCTGGGGGGGGGGACACGCAGATCTGTGAAGGAAGGAAGGAGGGGAAAAAGAGAAGGAAAGGAGAAGGGAAAGAAAGAAGGAAAGAAGGTGGGAAAGGGAAAGAACGAGGGAGAGAAGGAAGGAAGGAGGCTTCTTGCTCCTCATGGCCTGGGGCTGCTGGGAGCAGGGGGTGGGGCTTGTTGCATGTGCCCGCCCCCTGGGCTCTTTACTGCTGGAGCTCCGCTCCTGTGCGCTCCTGCAGGAAATGACCCCTGGTTATGGGTCTCCAGGCTCACAGCCGGAATTGTTGCCAGTCCAATTTGCTGTAAGTGACCAGCCTTTGTGCTGCGGCTTTCAAGGAGAGGGGCCGTGGTTCAGTGGCAGGGCGTCTGCTTGGCATGTGGAAAGTCCCAGATTCAGTCCTTGGCGTTGCCCTTTAAAAGGATCAGGTAGCAGGTGATGTGAAAACCCTCTAATTTGAGTCGTTGGGGAGCCACTGCCAGTCTGAGTAGACAATACTGACCTTGACGGACCAACGATCTGATTCTGTAGAAGGCAGCTTCATGTGTCCGCGAGCGCTTTGCGTGAGGCTGAGTGGGGAATTGTCTCTTTTTGGTGCTGCAACTCATTCTCTCTTGGACAGGTAGAATTGGAAGGTCTCACCGGCCACATAGAATTCAACAGCAAAGGCCAACGTTCCAACTACGCCCTGAAAATCCTGCAGTACACACGGAACGGCTTCAGACAGGTAAGGCAACGTCTTTCTATTTTGCTGTGGCGCAGTTGGTCCGTTGATGTATATTGCTGTGGTGCAGTTTGTCCAATGATGTCCCGCTGTACAGAGAAGAACATCAGATGAGTCCTTCTGGATCAGACCAATGATCCATCTAGTTTCAAGCGGTGGCCAACCAGTTGCCCCGGAGGCACGAACGAACAGGGCACAGAGGCCAAGACCATCCCCTGACACTGCCTCTTAACACTAGATTTCAGTGGTTTGCTGCCTCTGATCATGGTAAAAAAGGTAAAGGTTCCCTTGCTCGAAAGCCAGTCGAATCCGACTCTAGGGTTGCGGTGCTCATCTCCGTTTCAAAGCCAAAGAGCCAGCGCTGTCCGAAGATGTTTCCGTGGTCATGTGGCCGGCATGACTAACACCAAGGCGCACAGAACGCTGTTACCTTCCCACCAAAGTGGTACCTATTTATCTACTTGCAATTTCTTGCTTTTGAACTGCTAGGTTGGCAGGAGCTGGAACTAGAGATGGGAACTCACTCCATCATCCGGCACCCGGGTCTCGAACTGCTGAACTACCGACCTTCCACAGCCTGCAGTTCAGCATCTTAACCACTTAAGCCACCGCAGCTCATGGAGGCTACCTTTAATCACCATGGCTAGTGGCCACTGAAGGACCTCTCCCCTATTAATGTATCTAATCCCCTTTAAACCCATCTGTGGTCATCACTACCTCCAGTGGCACTGAATGCCACAGTTCAATTACTTATAGAATAAAGAAGTACTTCCTTTTCTGTGTCATGAATCTGTTTCCAAACAACGTTGTGTGTGTATGAAGAGCCGTTGGGTCACTTCCAACTTACGATGACTCTATGACTTAATGACCTTCAAAGCATCCTCTCGTTAACAGCCTGGCTCAGGTCTTGCAAACGGAGGCCCCTCGCGGCTGTCAGAACCCACAGCCAACAACGAAGTACCCGCATTCAGGAACGGTTATACTTTTATTGCAAAGCTATAGATGCAGTAACACAGGCACTGTTAGGAATGGCCACAGCCAGTAGAGCATAATAGGATATAGGGTATTCGTATGCAACCCCCCCCCATGGCATCGGCCAATTAGGCACCCTCCCGCGCGCGGGATAAGTCAGGCAACCGTTAGGTGGCTAAAGCTGAGAACTCGGAGTCTCTCACGGTACATAGGAGCTCTCCAGACAACACAATCTCCTCCTGCACATCTGTAGAGGTAAGCATTTCAGCAAAGGCATAACAGCAGGGATAGGAATGCAATAGCAATTAACAAGACACGGAATGAACTCCCCAACCCCCATGGCGGCATAGCTGACAGTGGCTTCCTTGACTGAGTTTATCCATCTCCTGCTGTGTCTTCTTCTTTTCCTGCTGCCTTCCACTTTCCCTAGCATCATTGTCTTTCCCAGTTACTTTTGTCTTCTCAGAATGTGACCAAAGTCCGAGAGCCTCAGTTTCGTCACTGGGCGCCCCTAAGTTTCCAAGAAGCATAGAGACGACAGAGTGCATTCTTTTCTGGGGCTTTGCAAAACCAAGCCAATAAAAAAAACAAATTGAAGGGCTTGAGAGATCTCTGTGGGATAGTAAACTATCAAAGAGGCCAGGACAGAAAAATTAAGTGAGGAAAAACTGCCAAGCCTGTCTTGGTGGAGAAGGGTGAACAGGTGAAAATCGTGCACGGGTTTTTGTGAAGGAGAAAAAGTCTGTAATATCCAAAGAGAGGGGAGAGTGAGGAAGGCAGAGTTTATTAAAGCATCGATTCCCCACCTTTCCTCGTGGTTCAAGGCGGCTTGCATGTCTGGAATGCAAGACATCACGCAGGAAGGGACTAGAGGAGATTTCAGGTGAGTGAAAGGAAAAGAGCGAAGACTGGAGTATTTCCATGATGCTTCAGAATTAAGCATTGAAAGTCATGGAAACACACAAGCCCGAGTTATGCAGTTTTTCACATCACGAGAGAAGCCTCGGCTTCTCCTTGGTGTGTGACTGTGTGGGGAAATGCTCATGTGGACGTCCGAACCGAATGCACCCCCGAAAATGGCCCATTCGGACCCCTTTCGGGCTGCTGCAGGCCGATACAGATTCTCTGATCTGGATCGGCTTGCTGCCGAATTGCCGCCGAATTCCGGCGGCAATTCAGCCCCATTATATCCTATGGGCCATTGAAGTCAATGGCAAAAGCATAGGGTATATTCTGGGGGGTGGAGGGGAGGGGGTTTGGGGGAGAGGCTCCAAACTCACATGGTAGCTGACAGAGCCTCTCCCCAAAATACCAACCAAGTTTCAAGAGCATTGGACCAGGGGGTCCAATTCTACAGACCCTCAAACAGGTTGCCCCTATCCCCTCCATTGTTCTCTATGGTGGGGGAAAAGTAACGTTTTTTCCCACCATAGAGAACAATAGAGGAGATGGGGCAACCTGTTTGGGGGCCCGTAGAATTGCACCTTCTTGTCCAATGTTCTTCAAACTTGGTTGGTATCTTGGGGAGAGGCTCCAGCAGCCACCCTGCGAGTTTGGAGCCTTTCCCTCAAACCCCCTCCCCTCCAGCCACCAGAATATACCCTATGTTTTCGCCATTGACTTCAATGGCCCATAGGATATAATGGGGCTGAAATTGACATTGGCTGGCGAAAGAATCCCTAATCGGCTCATACTGACGAAACTGACATGTGGGAGTCTTACTGCCAGCCGAAATTGATTCTGCCCGATTCGGCCAAATCCAAATGGGCCGAATTTATTTATTTATTTTTCCCCACACCCCTAGATACACCATTTCCATGTCTCTTGAAATCTTCCAGCTACTGTGACTGCAGTGATTGCAAGAAAGGCATGTTGATTACATAGGTTCCCTGTGTGAGCTTTGTCCTTAGGATGGGCCATGGTGCCTTGCATATAGAAGAAACTGGTTGTGTGAACTGGCCCTACGAGCCCCCCACCCCAACTCCTACATTTTAGAAAAAAGGTCTACGGGGCTTGCATGACCAAAATATGAGAGAAGGCTTAAATCACAGAGAAAGAAGACTGAAGATGAGAGCAGAAGGAACATCCATCACTTCTGTAGAGGGGTGGGCATTTCACATACCTCAAGTACATAGAACAGAAGCAGAGCCCTGCTAGATCAGACCAATCATCTAGTCCAGCATTCTGCCTCACACAGTGGCCAACCAGTTCCTCCAGATGGCCAACATAAGAACAAAAGAGAAGCCAATGTTGGATCAGTCCAATGGCCCATCCAGTCCAACAGTCTGTCACACAGTGGCCAAAAATACCAGGTGCCATCAGGAGGTCCAGCAGTGGGGCCAGGACACTAGAAGCCCTCCCACTGTTGCCCCCTCCAACCACCAAGAACACAGAGCATCACTTGCCCCAGACCAAGAGTTCCTATCTTGACCTTGTGGCCAATAGCCACTGATAAACCTCTGTTCCAGATATTTATCCAATTCTCTCTTGAAGCTGCCCATGCTTGTAGCCGCCACCACCTCCTATGGCAGTGAATTCCATGTGTACAATAGAGTATAGAGGCCAAGGCCTTCCCCTGATAAGAACCTAAGAAGAGCCCTGCTGGATCAGACCAGTGAAGGTCCATCTAGTCCAGCATCCTGTCTCACGCAGTGACCAACCAGTTCCTCTGGATGGCCAGCAACAGGGCACAGAGGCCGAGGTCTTCCTCTAATAAGAACCTAAGAAGAGCTCTGCTGGACCAGACCAGTGAGGGTCCACCTAGTCTGAGATCCTCTCTCACACAGTAGCCAGCCAGTTCCTCTGGAAGTCAAACAACAGGGCATAGAGGCCGAGGCCTTCCCCGGATAAGAACATCAGAAGAGCCCTGCTGGATCAGACCAGTGAAGGTCCATCTAGTCCAGCATCCTGTCTCACACAGTGGCCAACCAGTTCCTCTGGATGGCCAGCAACAGGGCATGGAGCCCAAGAACTTTCCCTGATGTTGCCTCCTGGCTCTATTTCTGTTTCTCACAAGAAGACTGGCCCGACGTGCTGGCTAGCCTGCAGAGGAACTGGTTGGCCACTGTGTGAGACAGGATGCTGGACTAGATGGACCATTAGTCTAATCCAGCAGGGCTCTTCTGATGTTCTTATGAAGACCTCAGCCTCTATGCCCCGTTGTTGGACCTCCAGAGGAACTGGTTGGCCACTGTGTGAGACAGGATGCTGGACTAGATAAACCTTCACTGCATGTCAGGCCAGTCTTCTTGTAACTTATGGAGGGAACCTGGTCGAAAGATAGGCAGCATGTCTCGGGGATTTAATTGCAGCACTGAGACCTGAAACGAGGACTTCTTGGCTCAGGTTGTTCTCCACTCTCCTGCTCTAAGAAAGTGAAGGGCTTTACCGCTGAAGCCAGCATGAGAGTCTTCAGCTTTGGAAGAGGCTGGTGCACTGGCGAGGTTCAGATCGTGTAGCAGTCATGGGGATTATAATGTCGGTTGCTGCCTGAATCAAGGGGTAAGGAGGATGCCCAGAGAAGACAGTTTCACTCTTGTTGGCAGAGTAAAGTTGGGCTGTTTGGTGGTGCAGTGGTTAAGCCAGTCTGGTGTAGTGGTTAAGTGCGCGGACTCTCATCTGGGAGAACCGGGTTTGATTCCCCACTCCTCCACTTGCACCTGGCTGGATGACCTTGGGCAAGCCGTAGCTCTGATAAGAGCTGTTCTTGAAAAAAGAGCAGTTTCTGTCAAGAGCTCTCTCAGCCCCACCCACCTCACAGGGTGTCTGTTGTGGGGAGGGGAAGGGAAAGGAGTTTGTAAGCCGCTCTGAGACACCTTTGGGTAGTGAAGGGCGGGATATAAATCCAATCTCTTCTCTTCTTCTTCTAAGTGCACAGACTCTAATCTGGGAGAACCGGGTTTGATTCCCCACTCCTCCACTCGCAGCTGCTGGGTGACCTTGGGCAAGCCATAGTTCTGATAAGAGCTATTCTTGAAAAGGAGCAGTTTCTATCAGAGCTCTCTCAGCCCCACATACCTCACAGGGTGTCT